TATATATATATATATATATATATATATATATATATATATATATATATATATATATTAAAATGCGCGCGCGTGTGTGTGTGTGTGTGGTGTGTGTGTGTGTGTGTGTGGTGTGTGTTGTGTGTGTGTGTGTGTGGTGTGTGTGTGTGTGTGTGTGCGTGCGTGCGTGCGTGCGCGCGTTTGTGTGTGTGTGTACAAATGTACAGGACTACCTCAGTAAGTGCCAAAACGCGCACATGACGATAACAAGGTTCCGCAGACACGCGGCAGCAGGTGCTCTATCTCTTGGCAGGTTCAAATACTACAACCGAGTCAGCACGGCCGCTACCGTAGCAATTCTGACACGGCCAACTGGCAGCGACTCTGACGTCATGTCCCATGGCGTAATCAGACAATGACGTATTGAGAAGCTTACTAACTAAATGGTAGAATTTTGTTGTGTCTAGAGCAGTCTTTTGCACTTACAAGCATGCCAATGCGAGTGCCAGAGTGAATGCCAAAGGCAATGCCCACAAGTGAGCAACATTTCATCATTTTCATTGCCTACTTCAGCATCAATCGTATGTGGAGCACTCCCTTAAAACAAAGTGTCATACATTACTGAAAAGTGTGTGCCTCTGACTATATCCCCGGATTGCAACCGTTAACTCCCCAGTTGATATAGCGATAAGCACCCGCAGATCTCCAGACCCCGAGGCCTCACTCTTCAGTTCTCAGATGGGCACCACAACTCCTTCCTTCCGTAACAGAGTAAAAAGGATCTGGTTGCCACACATAAAGCCAAATGCCTTTACACGTGGATCTCATCATTGGCGTGCTTCGCTTCGCGTTTTTCTCGTTTTGCCCGTGCTTGGGCTCGTTCTGGAAGAGCAAGACTGACTGTTGTTAGCGGCCGATCAAGAACTCGAAACGATCTCCTCCTATCTAAGATTGTAGCTCTATATTCCTCTGTCTACCACGGCGCCAGTAGTCACCAGTGTTTGGTGTTCATGTCGTCATACCCGGAATGCTCGCACTTCCGGTAGAACGTTTACTAGTCACCGCTGATTAAGGCCTACACGGATAAGAAACATTGCACCAGTCACCCCGCATGAAGAACTGCAGACTTCTAGACATCACATAACCATCCCGTTACCCCCACTAGAGCCTAACAAGCCGCAACACCAACTCCTACCCGTTTCCCTCTACGTGCGGTTCTGCCGTGTCTCCTTTGCAGTGCAGTCCACAGCCAGCCGCGTGACAGGCTGGTCTGCAGGACGGTTATCTGGTCTGGTCTGGTCTCTGTTCGGTCTGAGTCAGGCCGCGATAGAGTGGCGGCGGACCGCTATCGCATCTCCGGCGAGATAGCCGCCGCGACCGACGGCGCGTGGGTGAGCGCCGCACCGTACCCTGTCTGGCCACTGCGCACGCGTCCTGGTGCTGCCTGCGCGTGGAGTGAGCATCGCACCGTTACCCTGTCTGGCCACTGCGCACGCGTCCTGGTGCTGCCTTGCGCGTGGAGTGAGCGTCGCACCGTACCCTGTCTGGCCACTGCGCACGCGTCCTGGTGCTGCCTGCGCGTAGGGTGACCGCGAAGGTGTTGCCGGGACGCTGGGAAGCCGACCTTAAGGCGGAGTAGGAGCGCACGCACGGACCAAGCTAAGGTAAGATGCAAGACGCAGGCGATGCAGAGCAGAAAAAGACGTCACGTGGTTTACCACGCCATCTGATGATCACGTACGGCGTCGTGTGGTCTGCGCGTAGCCTGAAGTACCTCATTGTGATCGTATTACAGTAAACTAGTTATCAATGCATTGTATTGAATCTGAATTTAGGCACAAGCGCACATTAGGAAGTACGCATAACGCTTTTTGAACGGTTAACAAAGTATATCAGCAATGTTTTCGTGGATTTTCGAAAAGCTGATGAGTAGCATTAGTTGAGACCTGATGGCACGGGCATCCCACATTCGTAGCAATTTAAGTTATACTTTTTTCTTGTGGTTGTTCTTTCATCAGCTGCCCAATCCAGAAGAATCGTGTTCTTGGAATTCGTTAGTTGCACATGGGTGTCACTCCGACGAATCTCATGCGTCTGTAGGGGACGCCTCCCAAGAGAGCCGCTCAGTGACGTCACGTCAGCTACCAGTGACGTCACCGGATGGATTAATTCAGCTGTCCGGTGGTGTTGATTCTCACTCACCGTTCTTCAGGGGTCGTCATGCGTTCTCAGCTGTCGGCGACAGACGCAAGGCCACGGCAAGCAGCTGCTGTGCTGCTGTTTTGTCTACTGCTGACGTCATTTAGTGAGTGAGGCCGTCCCATAAGTGCTCGTAGCATATCCGGATTTGTCTGGGATACTGGCATGTGCCGGCTGTGGCCGTCTGAGATTCTGACGTTGTTCAACGAGTACACGGTGATGCGTCGGATCTGCCTGCGATTCTGACGTTGCTTGGTGAGTGCCTGACAACGTGTCGGACCTGTCTGTGATTCTGACGTTGCTTGGTGAGTGCCTGACAACGTGTCGGACCTGTCTGTGATTCTGACGTTGCTCGGTGAGTGCCTGACAACGCGTTGGACCTGTCTGTGATTCTGACGTTGCTTGGTGAGTGCCTGACAACGCGTCGGACCTGTCTGTGATTCTGACGTTGCCCGACGAGTACACGGCGATGCCTTGGACGTTGTCGACGAGGACCTACCACACATAATATCGGCGTCGCTCGTTAAGTGTCTGACGCTGCCTGCCGAGTGTCTAGTGAAACCGGTAAAACTGGCGCTCGATGAGTGCATGCTGTCTGATGTCGACGCTACTCAAAGTCTGATACGCGTGATGCTGATGTTGCGCAGCGCGTGCATGCTCTCTATGATGCCGATCACGCTCGGTAAGGGCGGTGTCTGACTTCGTTGCCTAAAAGACGTCCTATTCGGCAGTGGATCCACAACAAGGATATGAATTATTATGGACACTGCTATTTTCGCGTTAACGCGACCCATAAGTGATCTGGACTGCACGACATAGGGCTCCCCGGGTGCCAAGGGCTAGGATGTAGGTAACAGTAAAGGAAGGGAGCAAGGAATGTGGGAACTTAAGGCGCGATATTGATTTCTTCCTACTGTCAAATCTTACCATTTTGTTAGGATCAAAAATGCCACTTCTCCCTAGACACATACAGACTCGCAATGGGTGTTGTGCGAGTGCGTGTTGTGGGCCAATACACCCCCAAAGTCAACGCACACGGGCCCAGCGTGACGTGCGCTACTCACGCAGGGGCTCCGGTGAGCGGCACTCCACTGCTGAGCAGCCTCCAGCGGGACGGGTCGCCTCACCACATCAGCGGTGAGTCCTCTCAGAGAGGCGGGCGGACTGCGGAGAAGGCCCGTCATCGTCCAGCCTTCGGCAGGGTTCCGTCGCCAGTCACATGGCTCCCGCCGCGAAGGATGTTCATAATGTCAGCTACTTTGATGTTTTTGTTAGCTGGAAATCTGTGTTACAAACGCTTAACACCCTGTTTTTGCTATGTCAGCAGAGTTATGGATACATTGGAGGAGTTCTTTATCCATATGCCAGCTCTGAAGCCGAAATTGTCTTGACCATATTGAGTCTCAGTGGACCTAATGTGCTTGACTGCTCCCTTGGGCTCTTTCGTTTGCACACGCTGGTAGCCAGCAGTCCCAAGGTGTGTGTCGTGTGAGCCTGGAGCACCTCCCCGAATCAAGCTCGTGTCTTCCTCTTTGCTTGCCTGACGTGGTTCCCCTCAGCGTCCTTCAACCGCACTACAGCCGCAGCCGGGTCAGACAGTTACGGTGAGTTGGTCGGGCGAAGACACCACACAACTGATGTTCGCTTTCCCCGACGGCAGACGGGCCACTCAGCTCGACGGCCGCCGGTCGGCAGGAAGCGAGCAGCAGGCTGGGCGGCATCGGGCGGTACCGGCGCTCGCAGCCGCAGCAGAGCCACAGCGCCACCCAGCAGCTGGACCGCGAGCTGGAGGTGGCCAGAGAGGTGCGCCGGCTGGAGGCTGAGGAGCGCGGTCACCAGGCCACCGGCGCGGCCCGGGAGCGCGCCCAGCAGCAGGAAGTAGCGCGAGAGGTCCAGCAGCCCACGGCCGCACCGGCGGACCGCACCGCGCAGCAGCAAGAGATCACTAGGGAGGTGAAGCACGTGGTGGCAGAGGTGCAGTCGGGGCAACCCCACAGTAGGTCACAACACGAGGCGCAAGAGCAGGAAATAGCGAGGGAAATCAAACAAGCTGAAGCGGAAGCGCAGTCGGGGCAAGGCCCTTCTGATACATCACTACAGGTGGCACAGCAGCAAGAGGTTGCGAGAGAGATCAAACAAGCTGAGGCGGAAGCGCAATCGGGACAAGGCTCTTCTGATACATCACGACAGGTAGCACAGCAGCAAGAGGTTGCGAGAGAGATCGAACAAGCTGAAGCAGAATCGCAGAATGCAGACAGATCGCAACATGGGGCGCAACAGCAGGAGATCGCGAGGGAGGTGAAACAAGTTGTGGCAGAAATACAATCGGGGCAGTCTCCGAGTGCCTTGCAGCAGGAAGCCCGAGAACGAGAGATTGCAGGAGAAATCACACAACTTGAGGCACAAGTCCATGCTAACGCGACCGATTACTTATCACCAGACACGGATCGGTCATTGGGTGATAGCTACTCAGACGAAGATGAAAACGAAGATGACAGCGAACAGAATGATGATGACCGAGATCCTCACATCTACGATGATTTCTTCGCTAATGACGACGGCGCAGTGCAGAAAAAAGGTGATCACGAGGAAGCGTCCTCCTGGAATTCAAAAGACCACAATGCTGCAGTTGACGCCCCAGAAACGCTGACCAGCGGCCAAACGCGGTCTGTGGGCAGCCATCAAGGTCAGGCAGAGATCGCAGCGGGCAGCAAGGGTCACGTCAAGGCCGCCGCCTTCAAGTCGTGGCAGGCGACGACCATGACGGTGGTCATGTGCGCCGTGATTGGCCTTGTCCTGCTCACCGTGGTTGGAGTCTGGTTCCGCCACTTCAGGTGAGAATTCGTCCGTGTGGTGACGTCACTGGGGCACGGTAAATGCGAACTGCTGCCAGCAGGAGTTTGTAAAAATATGAGATCTGATGCGGCGTTCGGAGTGTGATAGGCCAGCATGTGCTGACAATAACGCTACAGGTGAAATTTAACAGCAGCGCAAAATAGGGCTTCCTTTTGTTTGATGCGGCTGCATCGTCTAATGTGCTGATGGTAACTCTGCAAGAAATTTACCCGCACGATTAAACCAGACTTTTTCTCTGGTTTTGAGCTCTAAGCGTTGTAAGATAAGACGACGTAGCTCGCCCATGCCATCTCAAACAATCCAACAAACCGTCATGGCTCGTTGGACCGCTTGCGCTCGTCAGAGCATCTCTGCCGCTGAGTCTATGCGTCATCAAACGGAGCTGACGGCTGTCCACAGCCCCGAATCACCCAAGCCACAGAACCTGCTGCTGGAAGACGACGAGAACACCGTGTACAACAACACCACCAGCACCCGGCCGGCCGGCCCGCACCAGGTAACCGATACTGCAGCTTTGACCGACGGCGACACATCCTGGACTTCCACGTGGAGACCTTCGGTAGCCGATACCAGTGGTAGTGGACATGATGGCCCTGACCGACGGCGACACATCCTGGACTTCCACGTGGACACCTTCGGCAGCCGATACCAGTGATAGCGGACACGACAGCTCTGGCCGACGACACATCCTAGACTCCCTCGTGGAGACTCTCGGTAGCCGATACCGGTGGTAACGGACGCAACTCTGACTGACGACGACGCATCCCTTACTCCCACGGGGATACCTTCGGTGGCCGATACCAGTGGTGGCGGACACAACTCTGATCGACGACGACGCGTCCCTTACTCCCACGTGGGATCCTCCGGAAGCCGATACCAGTGGTGCCGCAGTGTCCTCACCTAGTGGCGTCCACACGATGCGTACATCATGAGGAACTACTTTCGCCACCAGTCCTGGTCTTGATCACTGAAGGCGATGACGGCCGTGGATTGTGGTGCGGTTGAAATTCGACTTTATTCGTGAGAGAGCTGGGCACGCCCTTGACCCAGCTGGTACACCCTGTGACAGCTGACTGTGGTGGTACTGCAGCCTGGATTGTGGCCAGCTGTCTTCACAGTTATCGGTTTGCGTTAGTCACGCCGCGCTACGAGGCTGTTTGCTATTTAAAACGACACGTGACAGCTGATTTCAAGCGTTTGTAAGGTGAGACAGTAATAATGACCTTATTCCTTTGAGAAAAACCAGGAGAATGGAGAAATAGATTGGCTGATATTCCGGCAACATGCCTTAATCGAAACAATAGCAGAAGTGAATTCACTTCTGCCATTGTTCACCTACAGGCCATCACGCCCTATGAGTTTTGTGTCTCTGACTCTCTTAGCTTTTGAGATCTCAGGGGTCAAATTGCCCCCCTCCCCCCGCCCAAGTGGAGGGTATTCAACCGGCCACCCGGGCGCGCGTTGACAAGCGGACGAAGACTCAAGGACGTAGCTGAGACATTTTTTATTTTCCCCTCACAATAGTCCACCAGCCCAGTCCTTCCCTCTTAGACCACCCGTAAGTGGGGACGACATCTGAATAAAGGAAACTTGGCCAGGCGTGGGGAACTCTCTGTCTTAGTCAACATGTTAGAAAGGCTCTGGCCACATACAATTAATTCAAAATAACTAAAATGGACCTCGTGCAAAATGACCACTGTGGTCGACACACACTCTTGAGCCGAAATGAATAACTCCATGGTACCAAACATTTGTCAGGGTCGGAAAATGACCACTTTTATTTTTAAATATTGCTACTTCTCACACGGCGCGCAAACACGTTTGCCAAACGTCTTTTTGGCTCACACACGAAAGCCATCTTTTTGCAGACCACAACGGTAAGAGCATGCCACAACATACCAATGATGCTTATTCGCATACAGACTTTTCCATTTACATCCCTGTGGGTGCGCAACGACCTCCAGCGAACCGAGACGGCTCGGGGCTAACGCTTCTGACCGGTGACACCAGCCCGCGATGGCCCCATCGGTGGCCAGGTCGCGTTTGAGTGAAGGCATTACTCAAAAAGTGTACTGGTGCATATACCACGACCACTACCAGCACCATTACCCACCGGTGCTGATAATTACCATCACCAGTAGCATGGTCGGTGCTTGCTCGGTCTGACGCGTGCAACGGAGCCGTGGCACTGCGCTTGAAAGGTCAGGCCTGCCAGAGTCAAGCGATAACAGGGCCGATTTGCGCTAAAGCGGGACCGTCACACGGGCTTGAAAGGTCACCGCAAACCGTGTCTGACAAACGACAAACGCCTTGAAAGGTCATACGGTGGCCCAGCAACGGCGGATTAAAAGGCCGTGCTCCCCCTCCCCCCTCGCTCTAAAGCGTAATTCAGAGGCCATTCAGGCAGCGCGGAATGGCCATGATGACCGCAAAGGGCCTTTGGAGCGAACTGCAAAAGATTTTGTGTTTGTATCATAAATTGCAGAAGGAAAGGTTTCCGGAACCGGCGCAGCATTCGGGGCTTCTCGAACTTGTACCTCCGGCTGCGCATGGGCTTAACAATGGCTGCTGAGGGCAAGAGGACCCCTTAACCCGGAGGCGTTATAGACATACCAGAGGCACCAAATCCTCGCTCTGAGTAAAACCCGGCGTGCACTACTGCACCATGTCGCAGTGATTGACATGGGCGCCCTGCGTTCCTGGAATGATGTTCCATGTGAAATCATGCAAATTTAGTAAAGCTTTGGACCACAGATCATCGTGGCATGCTCGAGCGAACTGATTGGTAGTTACCTCCAAGTTATTCATCAGCCACAGAGTCAGTGCCGAATGTCATCGAACGAAAGCAGAGCAGAAAAAATGACTCCGATAATGGTGTTGATATGACCCGACTAAAACAGAGTAACGGTGATCTAACCACGCGCGCAGGACATGGAGCCATCTTTACCGATTCCACGCAGCATGGATGCGAGGATATATTACATGGACTTTGCGTTTAAAGCATTAATGAGCGTGCGAAATTATGAGTAGGCAGCGTAGAATTCCACAGCAGGTAACAGTTGATATCTCCAACGACATGTGAACAGTATGATCCGCTGACATGAGAACCAACAGAGATGAACTAAAAATAAATTTATACTGTCGCGTAATAGTATCCGTTGGCAATACCAAGCATGTGATAAGACCGCAAAGTAATAAAGCGTGCGCATCGCCGAGCGAATAACGCCAGATCCTACTTCGCCGCCATCAGAAACAATCGGTGACGTCACCTGTGCTGATGTTTCAGGTCGGTCGTTACGCCCGCCTGACGTGACCGTGACGTCACCCGTCGGTGTGACGTCATCCGTCCGCCCCACCGCCGCACGCCGGGCCCTCGTCTCTCCGCAGCCGAGGTGGCCCACGGGATGAAGTCACGATGCAAACTCCCACGGGGTCACGATGCAATCTCCCATCACCGCATCGTCACAGGACACGCGGTGCGCGCATCGCCTGGCGTCAGGCCACTGGACGTGTATCGGGGTGTAGTGAGATCTCGACGAGGTCGGGGTGTAACAGGCAAGTTCAGCTCGGTGCACCCCTTTGGTTGACCACCCACCAGCCAACCATAACAGAGCCTACGGCTGACTGTGCGTTGGACGTTAGACGCGACGTTAGACGTTACGTTAGAAGGAAGTGTTTGTACTATCGCTGCTACATGCCGGCTCCCGGTGTGGCGAAGCACGCATGTCTAATCACGAACGCGTCCCAGATCAGAGGGAATGACTGTGGTTTGAGTTGGGATTCCTCATACCGATTCCATCCGGTATTTCGCGATTCAGTTTGCTACACAATCATAAAGCGAAGCTGAGTCCTAATCAATCGTATTTGTCAGTCAGGGTACACCACATGGTTAAAGAAGGGCGGGGCGTCCATTAAGAATCGGTAGCGCTGGCCATGTCAAACATGCGTAGGAAGTCCCAGTGACTGCGCACGCACATTGGCACCATGGTGTAGTGAATGGGACCAAACCGAATGACCCATAACTTGCAGCTGATAAAGCGAACAAGTGAGCCTGCGTGGCGGACAGCGAGCCGGCAACGACGTCAGTGAATCGACATCAATATACTGTGGTTTTTCCAACGGCATTTTTTCTTCCGCCGACTTGCAGAACTGGCATTTCTTGTCGATGCTATTCGGCGGGGCATGCAGTACGCTTCATTTAACTTTGATTTAACTAACTCGTTCCACTGAGTCTAATAATCAGTTAAATGTTATGGCTATTACCTTCAAATCACCAAACTAGCAATTTAATCATTTCGTTTCACTAACTTGTTGCACTGGCTAACGTTGAGTGGGGTACTTACTATTGTTTGGCTTTTTTAAAAATAGTTATTATTTTACTATTTTATAAGTAAGCTGATGGAGCCTTGTCTTCGCCTGTCCCTGACATATTTTGGAACCAACGGTGATATTTATCTGATTAAACCTATTGTTGCATACGCCAAATGCCGACCCCGGACATCGATACCCAGGTATGGTGACCATAAAAAAACAGTAAAACAACTCAATTTGGCTCTAGTTACACGCGCCCAATGCATAACCGTGAAAAAACATTCACAGCGGTCCCTTCCCTGTTTCGGCAAGACTGGCTTAAAGGGAGTGTGCTACGCTTGTATGAGGTTTTGAACTGAAATAGCTATCTTGAAGATCATTTGGTGAAGTTTACAGCCCCAATCTGTCTTCAGACCTAACCCCTCTGGTTTCTGAGGTGTACGCTCGGAAATATGTGCAGACTATTTTGGGGAGACATTTCAAGGTCGCCCAGGCATCCATGACGCCAAAATAACGTCATCTAAATCCTGTCATTCCACTATCCATGCGGCGAACAAGGCCAACAAAAATAAGCTTAAGTCGCTGATATTTGACGTTCCTGAAAACGACTCCCAGACAAAACGGTCGTTAAGTAGCCGTCAATGAATGTATTGCAGGGTGCCATCAAACATTGCAGCGCGTAACCAATGACGTACTGAGGACCATATGCACTAAACCGAAATATTGTGTTGCCTTGATCAGTCTTTTTCATTTAAAAGTACGCGGATGTTACAAGTGAGCTCATATCAAATCCGATGTTTGTTTCAATATATTCAAATATGGAATATTCCCTTTCAGACATCGGAGATGAAGGCCCCGTAATAACCCCTCTTTCAAATGCCTCGGCCCTCAAATGTCATCATCGAAACAGACGACAGGACAAAAGTTTCACGAGCGCGTGCTCTTCGGCACTCTGGAGGAGATTTTTCTGACATTTTCACGAACGGGAGCATCCAATTCACTCTGTTTCGATCAGAAGCGACCAATCATTGTCGCCGCCATCGAAGACCAGGCGCGAGGAAAACACTTAAGCATCTACTGTATACGGAATACGCTTTATTAAGTTTGCTGTTTTCACAATTACAACCGGGTGGACAGGCGTTGCTGTTAGTACAATCATGACGCGTCCGAACGAATACCTGTGATCTCCCAAGACCGGACGTTCGGTCTTCAAAGCGTGCGCCCCAACATGGCGCCTGTTTGCGTTGAGCGGACGGACGGCGCGGATTGGCGCCACGGTTGGTCGCCATGGCAACGCCTGACTGACGCGCATCCGCCCGTCACGCGCACGACTGCTAAGCGGCACCGCCAATTCCGGAGAGATAATTTATAAAATATGCGAGTCAATCAGCTCCATCAGCACAAGGTACATAACTGGCGCCACAAGGGCTGCCAAAACAACAACGGAAGGATCCCGGAGCAACTGGGCGTGACGCCGGAGAAAGGACAGGGTGTGGCAGGCGGAGGCATAACTGTGAACCAAAAGCACCACTTCGGTTAATAGTTCCTACCGCAGAGTCGAATCGCAGCAACACTACACACTGTACAAAAAGACAACGGCCAAAGAGACGGGGCAAGAGGAGACAGGAGTGCTGGAGCAAAGGGGCAAGTCCGGAACGCGGTCACAGGTAACAAAACAGGCCAGGCGGAAACGCACACGGACATACTCAAAAGAACGGGGACGTTGAATCACACGGGCACCGAGAAAAGCCGTACAGCAAAACGCAGACAGTAGAGAGGGAGGGCAGACAGAGAGAAGAAAGCAGGAAAGGAAGACAAGAAACGGTGATGAGGAAGAGAAAAACCGATTGTAAAGAGCACAACCTCCAGCGATCGGCGCGCTGCATCCCCGCGCCGTCGGAGCCTCAGCAGGTCTTGTCTCACTCTGGCATCCGCGCTCTTCGCCGCTGCCTCCGGGCACGCATTAAAAGAAGTCTGTTTGCAGTGGAGCGGCCGCGGTCGCCCACGGTGGCGCCGCCACGCGGCCGAAACGCGCAACCCGACCGGCCAGGTTGGGCCGGACCCGGGCCTCGCCCCGGCGACAGCGGAAGGGAAGGTTTGGATGGGCGGGGGAGGGGGGGGGGGGGGGGCGTCCGGTGCTGAGCGGAGGGAGACGGGATTTGCGCAACGATTGCCGAGAGCCTACTGGTCCACACCGGGAGACGGCCGGTGGCGAAGGCGCGGTTCGGTGAGGGATGGCTTTGGGCCGGGAGCCGACGAGTCGGTCCCCCCCGGGGGAAAGAGTGCAGCATGACCTGAGGCGGCAAGCACCGGCGTCGCAGCTGGGGGCGGCGGCGGCTGGCGCCGCGACCGACCGACGCGCCTACGGCCGGCTGACTGGTGCCGACATAGGCCGACCGGCGGCCGCCGGCGCCCTGCCACCTCGCGCCGGCCGTGACCCGGCCGGCCGACAGGCGGCTCTCTCCCTGCGCCGAGCGCTGTTTCGGCTCTGCGCGAGCGCCGCGCCGGGCGGCGCTGCGCGCTGCCGACGGAGGGACGGCCGGGGCGCGCCGGCACCGGACGCCGGGCGGCGTGGGGAGGTATGGAGGGCGGCAAGGCGGGACAGGGGCGCCGGCGAGACCCCGGCCCGGCCCGGCAGCCGCGTGACCCGCTACGACAATTTCTTCTATCACATGGCGTACTTGCGTGTCCACTCCCTGGCCACCTGGCGGAGAGATCGGCAAGTGAGGACAGACCGCACGAGCACGAGCGAGGCCCGACCAATCACAGCACACGTGTAAGCAGACGTGTACTGTGATTGGTCGCGAAGAGCAGACAGACGATGACCACGTCGATAACAGCGTAAGGCTGTCCGTTCTCAGTGAGTGTGACATGAACGGATCTGACGAGCGCTGCAGAGCGAGCGTGTCGAACAACACGCATTACCTTACATAAAAAGCCGCAGCGCAAGGGATGCCCAACAATAGAAAGATCGCCTAATGTTCTGACAACCCTTAACCACGTGTGAAATACATCGTACGAGCTTCGTCATAATCAGAACGTTGGTCATGAATCTCGCGGCAGCAGAACAAAGCTATTTCAACGAAAATATCAGCCAATGAGACTGTTCGCGTACAAAGTGCGGAGTCCACTGACATTCAAAGGCGGACGAACAAAGTCCGTCAAGATACACTGAGTAGCGCACTTAAGCACTAAAATGACAAGTCATCTCTAAAGCACCAGTGTTTTGCAATACAGCATGCGGATCAGTGGTCCTAGTACATCACGCGGAAATCATACAATCAACATACCAAAACACCTACAACCTGGCGCTGCTTGGTCTTTGGAATCGGAAGAACGTCGAAATATTCCTCTACGCGATCAACCTTGGGCCGCAAAAACGCATGCCGATTTTGCCATGCTGTTTGGATAGCCAGCTTATATGGGCCACTGGTGACGGATGAGTCAATAGCAAGCACGACATAAATAGACCGAACCAGCTGATAGAAAGACACAACGTGCATTGTTTCCGTCAAAAACTACCGCACGGAGGATAAGGAGTGCAGGCGGGGTACAGAAACAAAGAACGAGGAGGGAAGTGGGAACTTGTTTTTGCATCATTCAAGACACGCCCGCATGACATTATACGATACCAAAATAGGGTTTGTAGCTTAATTCGCCAGGTTTTGAAAGTGTCTTGGATGCCAACCAAAAACCCAATGAGGTGATGGATAAAGATGGACGGGCAAAATGGATAAAATGGATACGCTGGATACAGACGGATAGTGGATAAAAATGAAAAGTATGGATAAAATATGGATAGATGACGTTCCAAGAGCTGACGAGCCGTCCACTGC